ATTGGTTGTATATTTTTAAACTGCATTTTGTGTATCTTAGCCATAAATATGTTTTATGAGCTGGTCACCTGACTCTAACAAATAAACAAACAAACAAATAGAACTACTGCAAATGAAAAGAAAAAGTGCCTGCAGGAGAGGTGGTGTCTCCACCGCTGGTGAGCCATCCACCCCATTTTCACAGCTTCAGGAGGAGTGACTGCCAGCCTGACAACAATGATGGCAGGAGGTGATGGCAAGGAAAAGGAGAACCTGGGGAGGAGTAGCTGGGCAGAACACCTGGAGCAAGTTGAGAGCACAGATGGAAAGAGTGGCGCTGGGGACAAGGGAGTGGGGGAGAGAAGGAAAAAGGGAGTTGTGGGTGGGAAGAGTTTCTGTTGGTGTTCTGTTCCATGGCAGAGGTGCAGCTGAATGTCCTGAGGGGGGGTGTTGATTGGGGAATGAGTGAACTTGGCTTGGGCGACACAGATGCAGAGGTGCCACACCTATCTTTGTTTCAGTGGAATATCAGGACCATTGGCCTGGATGACTTGTAGGGACTCACCCACCTGGACCCACTTCCAGTCAGTGCAGACACTGGAGACAAGGCTGCCAAAAGTTGCACCTCTCACATCTAGCTTGGGTGCTGGAGGAGGCCTTCTTCTGTGGAGAGGGTGCTTCATCAGAAATCACCAGCCCTCACTGAGGGGGCTAATAAACAAAGTGATACTAAAAATAAACCATGTTTTCAGGAAGGATGAAAAGGTATGGAAAGCCATAGAAAAAGTCTTTGTAGTAAGTGAGACAAGGGGAATGTCATATGGATGGTGGGCAAAATACCAGTAATGTCAGTGCTGAACCACTTATATTAAAGAGAACAAATGCTCCACCTAGAAGAACCCTATCAAGTAGCAAAGACTCAGGAGAATCATATCAACCTTTTGGAATGGAAGAAAACCCCTATACTAAATTTGGAAATCACCAAATGATAGTGTTATAGGAAAGGTAGTGTAGCTATACAAAGAAATCCAGGGGGTTAGATTCACTCCCAGAGCCTGAAGTTCCTTGTTTATCCATTTCACCAATAGTTATGGTACAGATAAATACCACCACAGCAGTGTAATGTCACTTCCTCCTACAGCATTGTAGAGCCCCTCCCCGTACCAACATCTTCAGTCAGAATGTTACCTTGTGACAACAGTGAGTGTTGGTATAATTACACTGGAAACCACATTTACTGTCAGATGCTGTAAGATGTACTGTCTGTTCTAACAAGATTTCCTTCTTCCTGGAAAGACCCAGTCATATCTTTGCTGAGAAATATTAAGCCATTGGGCCTAATGGTTTCATGTGAAGTCTCTCTGTGTTGTGTATCTTTACAAATGTTAAGACCACACACTCTGGGCTCTGCTCACACATTACGTTGTATTATCTATTATGCTGCAATAAAACAAATGTAAATTTTAACATCACATCACATACATGTGGCTGCTGTCATCCCAACATGCCATCAAAAATACTTTATTGGACAAAAGG